AAGCTGCCAATTTGGTTACTTAACCAGGTTCAAAGCGAGTACAAGTGCGTTAGAGAACTGCAGTTCGCTAATCCCGCTAAGCTACTGATTAAGTGCTTCTATCGCCCCGAACATGTTAGTAAGGCCAGTGAGGCTCCCAGTACCGGTTCGACCCCCCCCCCCTCCGGAAAACCGGGGGGGGTCACTACCGGTTCGAACCCCTCCCCCCCCCCCCTCAGCTCATCATGAAAGGGAGGGGGGGGTCACTACCGGTTCGAACCCCCCCCCCCCCTCGAAAACCGGGGGGGGTCACTACCGGTTCGAACCCCCACCCCCCCTCGAAAACCGAGTGGGGGTGCGGACAGTGGTGGGGACGGTGTTGGTGGGGACAGTGGTGAGGGGACAGCGGGAAAGTGGTGGGGACAGTGGGACAATGGGAAAGTGGTGGGGACGGTAGTGGTGGGGACAGTGGTGGGGACAATGGTGGGAACAGGGGGGACCGTGGACAGTGGTGGGGACGGTGGTGGTGGGGACAGTGGTGTGGGGACAGTGGGAATGAGGTGGAAACAGTGGGACAGTGGAGGGTACAATGGTGGTGGGGACAGTGGTGAAGGCGTTGGCGAGGACGGCGGTGGGACAATGGGACAGAGGTACAGTGGGGACAGTGGTGGGGACAGTGGGGACAGTGGTGGGAACAGTGGGACAGCTCAGTGGGACAGCGAAGGAGTCAGTGGGACAGTGGGGACAGTGGGGATAGTCGGGCAGTGGTTGGGGCCGTGGAGACAGTGGGGAGAGTGGAACCGTGGTGGGAACAGTGGTGGGGACAGTGGGGACAGTGCGACAGTGGTGGGGGCACTGGTGGGGACAGTAGGGACGGTGGTCGAACCAGTGGGGACAGCGGTGGTGAGGACAGTGGTGCTGGGAACAACAGTTGGGGATGTGATGCGGACGGTGGTAGGGACCGGGAGTCGTTTGCTGGCGGTGCGTGTGGGGGTGGGGTCGAACCGGTAGTGACCCCCCTCCGGTTTTCGAGGGGGGGGGGGTTGAACCGGTAGTGACCCCCCCCGGTTTTCCAGATCCGGAGGGGGGGGGGGGGGGGGGGGGTTTCGAACGAACCGGTAGTGACCCCCCCCGGTTTTCGAGGGGGAGGGTGGGGGGAGGGGGTTAGGGGAGGGGGGGGGGTTTTGCCGGGGGAGGAGGGGGGGGGGCCACCAGGGGAGGGGGGTGATTTTCGGAGAGGGGGGGGGGGGGGGGGGGGGCGACCCCCGGGCTCCGGAGGAGAAGGTTGGCAATTTTCCATAGCAAAGCGGCGGTGGATCACGCTCTCTCGTATATATGTATGTGCATACGTATATGCATGTGCATATATGTATGTGTAAGTGTACATGTACATGTATACGTATATGCACATGTGTGCATGCACACACGCATGTATGTAGACATGAAGGTATGTAGATATGTATGTATGTATGTATGTATGTATGTATGTAGGTAGGTAGGTAGGTAGGTAGGTAGGTAGGTAGGTAGGTATGCATGTATGCATGTATGCATGTATGCATGTATGCATGTATGTATGTATGTTTGTGGCCTGTCCCACTCTCCGCGCGTAGCTCTTTGCAGCTCCTGCAGCTTCTCGGCTCAATCAGCTCCCCCCCAGCCCCCCGGCGGGCGTCTGACGCAGGCGCTTGTCCGGCCGGCCATCGAGGGAGCGGGCGAGGCCTTCTTTCGGGGCATACGGGCCGCGCTTTCGCCGCGCGTCACGAGCGGCTCGCAGGTCAGCGCCTCCCAGCGCTTGCGGACCTTGGAGCCCCCTCCGCGGGGGCCGCGGGGGCAGCTCGGGCCAGCCCGACCAGCCAGGGGGGGGGCTCCCCGTGCCCCCCCGCCGGGGCGGGCCTGGCCTGCCACAGCGTCTGCCTGGGGCTGGCGGTGGGCGTGAGCAAATGGGGTCACGCCTCGGCTGCTCTCGTCGGCTGTTCCAGGCCTCCCAGATGGGGTCGGAGCAGAGGGGGGCGGAGGATCGCGCCGCATCGACGGCGCATCGGCGATGCGGCCCGAGGTGGAGCCCGTGTTTCCCCACGCCGACGTCACCGATGCATCGGCGATGCGTTGGCGATGCGGCGCGATCCTTCGACCCCATCTACTCGGGCCCCATCCAGGAGGCCTCCAGCTGTGGCGCTCCTCGGCGCCGCAGCCTTGTGTGCAGAACTTGCGGCGGCGGCTGTGTCGGGGCCCTGGCCTGGCGGCCAGCTCTGGTGGAGGCGCGTGCCCTTCGCCCGCGCGCGCGAGGCGAGCGGCTGCGCCCCCGCGTGGCACGAGCGCGGCGCGCGAGGCACGGGCCCTGGCGCGGAGCTCGCCCCCTGCCGCCCACTGGGGGCGAGCCCCCCAAGAGACCCACGAGGCCTCTGGCGCGGTGGGCTCGCTCGCGCACTCTGGCGTGCGTGTCCCCTCTCTGCTCCGCCGGGGGCGGGGCGTGCTGGCGCGGCAGCTGCCGCCGCTTCCATGGGGGCGGATGGGCCGCATCCCCGAGGGGCCTGAGTGGCCCGACCTCTACAGTCGGGGCCCTGAAGAAGGAACTCTTTGGGTTGGGGAGGGGCTCCGCGTTCCTTACGTGTTTCACAGCTCGCCTCAGGCTTTCCTTATGTTTTCGATCGGAAATCGAAGTTTAACTTATGGGACAAAAGGGTCCTCGTTCCTTATTTAGGGTTCCTTAGGTCAACGCCCCTACTGTATCCGCTCGGGCCGCTCACGGCCACAGGGCGCGACCGCTGGCGACGGCGTCGACGGCGACGACGGGCTGCACACCGCGAGCCCTCTGGCCTCTCGGCCTGGGGCCATGCTGCTTGCGGTGCTGGCTGCGTTCCGCTTGGTCGAGGGCCTCGGCCTCGAGGAGGCCGATGGCCTCCCAGGCACGATCGGCCCCTGTCGGGTGGTCGACGTGCCTCTGTTGATCCGGCGCGGCGTCCCGCCGGCTGAGCATCACAGCCCCTGCGTTGGCGGTCGACTTGGAGGTCGCGGAGTCGGAAGTTAGAGGAGGAGGAGGAGGAGGAGGAGGAGGAGGAGGAGGAGGAGGAGGAGTAGGAGGAGGAGGAGGAGGAGGATTTGGAAGTCTCTGTACCCGCTGGCCGACGGGGATGCCGAGGGCGCGGTGCCCTTCGGGGCAGCGCGAGGCCGCACCTCTTGGCCGCACCCGTCGGGGGTCCGAGCCCTTCGCGGCAGTCGGGTTGCGATCCATGGGGGGTCCCCGAGGAAGGACAGAAGCCGCTCTCGAATGAGAAACGCCATAAACATAACGCGCTCCGCGCGGATTTCTTGGATCTGCGCTGGGCCCCCCTGGCGGCGCCTTCGGCGCCCCTCTTCCTCCTTCCTCCTCCTCCTCCTCCTCCTCCTCCTCCTCCTCCTCCTTCTCCTTGCATGACGCAGTGCTGATGCAACTCCCACCGCTGCCCACTACTGCAATATGCAGTGGTTGCGTTCCAGCGCGCTTGCACTCAGCCCGGACATGTCTTTTGTATGAGTTGTCCTTGGCTTCCTATACGACAATTTCTTTTGTCGATGCGCTGTCCCGGTGCGGCTTCTTGCGTGCGTGGGCAGCCCTCGTCACCACCGCTGCATTCGCCTCGAAATCCTAGTCAGAACGCACCCCAGGATAGGTATGGGGAGTAGCGGCGTCGGTACCTTTCATTCTCCCCAGGTAAAAGTCAAGCACCGTGTGAGTCAGACCGGGTGAGTTAGGCACCAGGTGAGTGAGGCGGGCCAAGGTCGTTCAAACACCAAAGAAAATACATGAATTTTCTTTCGGGAGTGTTCTTGGGGCGTCTTGGAGGCCTCGTCTGGAGGCCGTCTTGAGTCTTGGAGCGACCTTTCGGCGCATCGGAGCCCTCTTGGACACACCGAAGGGTTCGGCAGGTTGTTTGAGGTGGACACAGCATCCAGAGGACTGGCAGGAAATACCCAAGAACTCACGGGAAAAATCCCAAGAGACCCCGAAAACGCTTTGCGCATTGCGAGTCCGGGTTCTTGCGACACTACAATCTTGGCTGCAGCAGCAGCACAATTGTGAGCTTCGGGGCACTCCACTTCGTGCCAGAGGCACGTTGGCGGATGATTGACACTGAAGAGATGCACGCGCGTGTGTATGCGCACGCACACACACATTCTAATGTTCAACGGCTGTGTATGTATCAGAACGAATGTTCCGTCCCTTCCTCTCTCTTGCCTCCTTTCGGAGGAGGACGACGAAGACGACGATGACGCCGACGATGACGAGGGAGCTGAACGAGGCACTTGGGAAAGGGGTGAGGGCGAAGGAGGAGGACGATTCCCTGAAGATATCGTCTCGCGAGGGTCTCGCTTGCTTGACGCTTGCTGCTGGTTTTGGATGCAATGTCAGCTCCGCCGAGTCCGCCTGGTCGCATCAGCTTTGGCCAGGGTGGGGGATATCAAACACAAGCCGGCTGTCAAAAGCAAGCTCCAGACTCCGACTCGGAGGAAAAGGCAGACTGTTCCGCGCGCGCTGCAAGCCATGCTGCATGAGGGGGAGGACGAAGAGGCGGTCTCAACCTCTGAGTCCGTAACCGTTGTGGCTTCAGCTCGAGGCTGAATTACCAGTTCCTCCGCATCTCCTCCCGTCCATCCACAAAGCAATGACGCGGGCTGCGATGACGCTGCTGCTCGCCGTGACCATCCGCTGCGCCTTCGGCGCAGCGACCGTCGCCGCCGACGCGGCTCCCCGCGGCCAGCGGAGCCGCCAGTCCACCGCCGCCCGCGGCCACAGCCAGGCTGAGCTGAACGGCCTTGAGGACGCCCACCCTCGGCGGCGAGCGAGGGGGGGAAGTGAGAAGGAGAAGGCCTCCTCAGGAAGTTCGGAAGTCTCCCGGCCTTTGAGAAGCTTCTTAGGCCTTCTCCGAAGACAGAACAAGACTTCTCAGAAGGCGCGAGGGCTTCTGAAAAGTCCTTCTGAGACGGCCTTCTCCTTCTCACTTCCCCCCCTCGCTCGCCGCCGACATCCGCACCGTGGCCATTCCGCGCACGGGGGGGAGGCTGCCGAGTTGCACCGCACCGAGGCCCACGCGCACCACGCCGCGGCCGGCGGTGTCGCGGGCCAGGAGAAGCACGCCACGGCGGCGCACGCGAGGGGCTCCCCAACGTCGGCCGCGGAGGGCTCCAAGGCCCCCGAGGCGGGGGGGGATGCCTCGGACGCGAGCCCGGGTGCCGAGCCCGAGGAGGACGCCGAGGAGCTGGATGCCGAGGTGGAGGAGCCCGAGCACGCGGATGCCGAGGATGTCGGTCGTTGCGCAACAGGGGGGGCGAAGGATGGGGGGGGGGGAAGAAAGGAGCACCTTCGGTGCCCTGAAGCCAAGGGAGGAAAACCCTCCTGGACCCGATAAGTGGCGTTTGCTTAACGGCCTTGGGCGTTGACTGAACAGCCCTGGCCTGTTCGATTCCTCCCGTGGGTGCGTTTACTAAACCGCTTCGCGTGTCGGGGTGAATTGGATTCTTATGGGGGTCGATTTTCTGCCAACTACAAAGGGGCCCTCTGGGGCCAAAGAGGGGCACGAAAGGTTCACGCTTTCCCGCCCCCCATTGATGGAGGGTTTCTCCGAAAGGCTTAGGCGACCCGTCCTCCTCCTACTCCTCCTCCTCCTCCCTCCTCCTCCCTCCTCCTCCTCCCTCCTCCCCTCCTCCTCCTCCTCCTCCTCCTCCTCCTCCTCCTCCTCCTCCTCCTCCTCCTCCTCCTCCTCCTCCATCTCCTCCTCCTCCTCCTCCTCCTCCTCCTCCTCCTCCTCCACCTCCTCCTCCTCCTCCTCCTCCTCCTCCTCCTCCTCCTCCTCCTCCTCCTCCTCCTCCTCCTCCTCCTCCTCCTCCTCCCCCTCCGCTCCACCTACTCCTCCTCCTCATCCTCCTCCTCCTCGGGTCGCCTGCGGCCCCCGGGGAAATCATGCACCCATTGATCGCCCTACCATGAAGCAGCGCCGAAGGATGGCGCCGATGACTTCGAGGGCCCCGTGGAATTCCACCTGCCCCAGCGCGGCCGCGTGCACGTCGCGGTCGACGCGGCCGGACACGCCGCGGAGGTGAGGCGGGGCGGTGGGCCCGTCATACGGAGGCACAACCACACCAGCGGCACCGATTTCGACGACCTGGAGGATGGAGGGAAGAGACACGGGGACCATGACCGAGATGCCGCGTGGATCTTGTCGATCCTGGTCATGGTACTTGTCGGCCGTCGCCGAATAGCGATGATGAGCCGCGAATTGACGCCGACCAAGATCGACGGTGACCAAGGTCGAAACGGCATTTCCGCGTTCAGTCTTGGTCATGGTCTCCGTTGCCTTCCCCTCCAGAGGAGGACTCCTTGGTCGAGGAAGACGCCGACCTGAGGGCGCAAGCCAGGAGGTCGGGCTGGTGGTCGCGGCGCCGCGCGCCCCCGCCGCCGCCGCCGCCGCCAGCCCCGGTGCATTGCGCGTGGGCGGCGTGGGGTGCGTGGGGAACGTGCAGTGCGACCTGCGGCGAGGGTAAGCAGTCGAGCACGCGCAAAGTCGCCACGGTGCAGAGGAACGGGGGAAATGCGTGCACGGGCGAGACGGCGAAGACTCAGACGTGCCAGATCCAGAAGTGCACCACGACCTCAACGACCACCACTACCACAACCTCCACAACCACCACGACGACCACCAAGAAGGTCCGAGTAGGAGATTGACTGCACAATTGATTCACCCCAGAGTTGCTTGTTCGTCAAATCTACCAGCAAATAAGGCTACCGTCGAAAAACAGAAGTGCTTTTATTTGTAGATTCGCCGGAATCAAACTTTGAGGTGAATCAGCTCTGCAGCCGATCTCCTACCCGAAAGGTCGTGAAGGCGGGCGCCTCGCGCCCCGCTGGTGGGATCGCGCTGGCGCTGCTGCTGGTGCTCGGGGCGGCCCGGCCGCTGCTCTGAGGCTCCCAGGGGCGTCGGTGGACTCCAGGCGTGATCAGAGATCCAGGCTCAGCTTCTTCGCCGATGGCTGCCCCGCTCCTCCTCCGCCTCCTCCTCCGACACCTCCTCCTCCTCCGGTACCTCCTCCGCTACCTCCTCCATCTCCTCCTCCTCCGATACCTCCTCCTCCTTCTCCTCCGATACCTCCTCCTCCTCCTCCTCCTCCTCCCTTCCTCCTGCTTCGATACCTCGTTTTCCTCCTTCTGCTCCGATACCTCCTCCCCTTCCTCCGATACTCCTCCTCCTCCTCCGCCTCCTCCTCCTCCGATACCTCCCCCTCCTCCGAAGTTCCTCCGCCTCCTCCTCCGATACCTCCTTCTCCTCCTCGCCTCCTCCTCATGCTTCGATACCTCCTCATCCTCCTCCTGCTCCGATACCTCCTCTTCCTCCTCCTCCGATACTGGGACAGGGAGGCATGTCGGTTGGCGTTCCTTCCCCGCGGGGCGGAGACCCTTTGCTCCTCGTCCTGCTGCTCTCCCGTTCTGCCACGGCTTGCGCACCTCTTGCTCGGGGCGTCCACGAGAGAGCGACAGAGGGGCCCGAGAGGGAAAACAAGTTTCACGCTTCGCGTATAGTGGAGGCCCATGCCAAGAAACACCTTGCTTGCTTCCAGGGTGCCCTGGGTTTCTTGGGTTTCGATGGTTTTGCTGTGGAAGGCGTGACGCTTCCGCTCCAAACATCCCAGGAAGTTCTCGGGTTCCAGGTTCGGGTTTCTTGTGGAAGGTTTCTCGTGGTCGGGCCCCTACTGTATCCCCAACAGCCCACTCAGGAACGCTACCGATGAGAGCTGGCGGGAAACGGGCCAGAGAGCCTGAAGCGATGCCTGGGCGGGTCGCCTTCGTCGGGAAAGTGTCGAATTGTGCCGTGAGAGATAGGAAGAGGAGGAGGAGGAGGAGGAGGAGGAGAAAGAGAAGGAGGAGAAGGAGGAGGAGGAGGAGGAGGAGCAGGAGGAGGAGGACGACGACGAGGAGGAGCAGGCACAGGAGGACGAGCACGGGAACGAGGAGGACGAGGTTGGAGGAAGATGGCGAGGAGGAGGAGGAGGATGAACGAGGAAGAGGAGGGACAGAACAGAGATGACGAGAACGAAGAGGAGGAAAAGGAGGAGAAGAATGAGGAGGAGGAGGAGGAGGATAAGGATGGGAAACATGAGGAGGAACACGCAGAAGATGAGGATGACGACGGCGATGACGAGGACAAGGACTCTGGCAGCCATAGTGGGGTCTTCCTGGGGCCGTTTTAGTTGTTCGCTTCGCTCTCCCTGTCAGTCTTTCAGTTTATACACGTGCGCCGCTGATCGCGTTTGACGTCAGACATTCGTGAGGATAGGACGCCGCTACAGTCCCAGCGGGCGCGAATAGATGCGTGTATATTTCTAAACGTATATGTGTATATGGTGTTTGTCTTCTCTCTCTCTCTCTCTTTTTCTGTGCTTTGTGTGTGTGTGTTTTGTAGATGGTCTTCCTCTTATGTATAGATATACCGTCGTTGTTTGTTCTCTCTCTCTCTCTCTCACACCCAGCGCCCGTACACGAACTGCCTTTACATGTACACAAACGGAACTAAGCAGCAGTAATGTCGCATTCGTGAAGGGTTGGCTATCTTGCCATTTTGAAGGCCATCTTGGGCTATCCACGGCTTTCTTGGAGCCATATTGGGCCAAAGAGGGTGGGGCGGAGGGTCTTTGGGAGAGGCTGGGAGGCCTCTTGGGGCCATCGTGGGCCCCATGTGTCAAAAAGAGGGGGCGCCTTAACTCGGATCCCCCCCATTGGAGGCTCTCAAACGGCGTCTTGGGGCCTTCTTGGAGCGCTCTTGGGCGCCTCTTGGGCGATCTTGGGGCAGTCTTCGGCCTTTTGGGGCCCTTTTTGGCCCTTTTGGGCCATCATGGTGCCATCTTGAGGCTTCCAAAGCCCATCGGAAGCGAAAAGGCGATAATGCCAAAAACATTGGTGTTCCCTAGGTTTTTGAAAGGTTTTCACATTTTGGAGAGAGCCGTGGAGGGCTCGAAGGGCACTTGGGTCCGTCTTGGGGCTGCCTTGGGGCCTCTTGGGGGTTGGGCGGAGGCTATCTTGACCCATCTTGAAGTATCAGGAGCCATCTTGGAGGCTATCTTGCGACTTTGAACGCCTCTTGGAGCAATATTGGGCCATCTTGGACGCTCTAGCGCCTCGCGGCGCGCCCCGTCCAGGCCCAGGGGAAGGGGGAGGGGGAGGGGCTTCAGTGGAAGAGCGAAGACAAAACGCTTTATACCACCTAAGCCCAGAGGGCTGGTGGGATTAATGACGGACGACCAACACAAAGACACATGTCATGGATAACGGCATGACATTTGTTGCAACGTCTTGAGACGGGAGCCATATCATGATGCTCAGTTTCAAAAACATATTCCTCAAGGATATTGAATTCGAGAACCTCAGTTTGTTTTCCCCCACCTAGGAGATTCAACGTTTTGACGCCACGGGATATCACAGGCCCACCCTTACATTCAGAGTTGGATTCGTGCAACAGGATTACGAGGGTGGCGCCCCTGAGAAAGGACTTGGCGACCGCTTCCGCCTGAGGCGGGGAGGAGGTCTCGACTTGCAGAAAACCCATTTCAGTTGGCAGATGACCGACCTCGTCTGGCGAGTGGGGCCGTACAGTCTTTCAGCCGACAGCCAATGCATACAGAGCAGACGTACCAGGGAACCCTTCCGTGAATATCAAGGCCACCGAAACCTCTGGCATCGACGTCTCGGGTGCCGCGGGGGAAGCCCCAGCATCTGTTCTGCCCCCTCTCGCTTCGGAGCGGTTCCTGAGTCATTCGACACAGCTCAGAGTCGCTTGAGCGGAACGACGCTGGTACGCCGAGAAGCGGTCTCCCTGAGTTGACACCGAGGTGGTGGTTTGTGCCCCCAGGCACCGTAAGGGCGAACTCGCCAGCCGTAAGCTTTCAATGGAGGGCCGAGGAGGAACACCATGAGACCGACTGATCGGTGGGTGCGAAAAGGCTTCGCCCTATACCATCGCAGTGACTGGCGTCTACTACCCAAACTGGACAACAATAGAAAAAGAAGCTGTATCGATGCTGTCTGGCGTCTACGACCCCATTTGAAAACCAAACAACAAAAAGAGAAGGCGGATCGATGACCGACGTCCCCAGGGCGCGCGGCGGCGCCAGTGGCCCTGCCGCCGGGCCTCCGCTGCCGCCCGCCGGTAGCATGCACAGTCGGCCACCAGCTGGTGGATCACCACCCACCAAGCCACCCCAGCCCGACCCGAAGGCCTCCATTTGCCCTCCATTTTTTCAGTGCGGGGGGGGGTCGGGGAACATAAGACACATAAGGAGCCCGTACCCAGCCCAACCCGAAATTCGGGTCTTCGGGTTGGGTTGGGGTGGTCTGGTAGCTAGTCCGTGGAGGGACGGTGTCCACCAGTCTCTGAGGCCCCTTGGCGCCCCGACGCTCACGATGTTCCAGCCCACTTCGGCCTCGATCGCCAGAGAAGAAGAATGCCGAGCACCAGGAAAGCACCGAAGCTCGAGGGTTTCCACGTGTCGGGCCCTGGGGGAGACGCTCGTCCGGCACTGCCTCGGCACTGTTTCGACACTCTTTCGACACTTTTCCGGTTGCTCGAAATTAGTTACGGGATGTGGTCTTGAAGTACGATGGGAGCAACATGACCCGACGCCGACATCCGAAAAAGGCATTCACACCGTCCCAAGTAGGCTCCGACAAGGGCAGGTCTAGGATTGATCAGCTTGACCCCAGTGCGGCGCGGGACCGAAAGCAGAAGCCTTGGCTCGATCCGCGATCTCGTCCACGCGCTTGGTCTCGCTGGTCGTGCGATGCTGAATGTTGGCCCCAGAGTTCGCAGCGAACGCGGGGAGCCGCTGTCCAGGATGATCGGACTGGTGCCAAAGACTAGACTGTTATGCGCTGTCGCTGGTCTGCAAGCAATGCAGCGTCAATTTCCGCTGCGTCGAACATTCCCCGCGAAGACAGAATAATCGCCCAGGCCTCAGGCATGCCGAGTGGGAGGCTGTGCAGCAGCAACAAGCGGAGATAAACATGGAAAAATGGTGGAGGATATGTCCCAACAACAGCAGCACCAGGCCGCCGTGGATCGGGAAGAACAGGAACGAGCGCCAAGGATCCGTGGGATGTAACTGGCGGCCGAGGACCAGGAGAGGCGCTTCGCGGCCGAAGGAGCCGAGAAGAAGCCGATGGCGCTCAGAGCGCGGGGGGGGGGCTGAAGAGGCAGCCCGCGTCGCAGAACAATCCGCAAGGATGGGTCGAGACATCGCCGCGGCTGAGCCGCCTGGGCAGGCCGAGAGGGGGGCTCTCACCGAGAACGCCTTCAGAGCTCAAGTCAGAAGGGGACAAAAACACACAGACACAATTAATCATCGATTCCCCCGAAAATATGGGAACCGGGGGGGAAGACAAAAACCCAGAAAATAGGGGGGATCCAATCATCTGTGTCTATTTCTTTGTGTGTCCCAGGGCCCCTTCATCAGGAGGCTGCAGGGATGGCGCGACTGAGAGGACCGCGAGGAGAGGACAAGGTCAGTGCAAGACGCTGGCGGCCAGTCTGCTTCGAGCTGGGAGCGGCGCGGCCGCCGCGCATGCATCGGCGACCGCTGGCCTCGCCCAGCGACCCGCCATAGCGAGGGCCACCGCCGGTGGTGGCGTCGCAACGGGAGCGGGCGGTGGACGGGCTACCTTGGGAGGGTCTCGGGGCCCTGTTGGGGCCGTTTTGGGGGGCTCCTGGGAGCCTTTTGGGGCCATCGTACAGGCCATCGATCAAAGGAGGGGGGGTCCCCGATTTCCGTCCCTCACCTCCGGGGCCCTCGCAAAGTCGCCTTCTGGAGCGCTCTTGGGCCGGCTTGGGGCCCTCTAGTGTGTCGTGGCCATCTTGGCGCTTCAAAAGCGTACCGGCAAGAAGGCAATATTCGTGGATTTGTTTGACGGTATCGTGCTTTGTTTTACGGTGCGGTGAGGGGGCATTGAGAGCCCTTGGAGCTATCTTGCGGTCCTTTTGGGGCTTCTTGGAGGCATTGCAGAAGCTATCCAGCTGCCCTCGGTACTTCC